TAAAATGATTTATGGAATCTTTTTTCGGGTTTCTAAATGCACCTTTAGTATAATTGACTAATAATTATTATGATAACTAAGCTAATAATCTACTATTCTAATTATTTTATATATATATAAATGGCGGTCAAATTTTTTAATTAAATAAATGGCTCAGATTGATCAGATTTTAATTTTTCCTTAAGATTTTCTAATTTATCCTTAATTAATATGATTATCCGTTAACTTTTTCGTTAAGTATTATCTTTTCCGTTAATTTCTATTACTTCACCGTTAACTTACTCATTGATTTTAATAAGAAAGGTCTTATGTTCGAACCTCATCCCAATCAAAGTTGACATAATTAGTACTCTATTTTACTCTTATTAAATTAAATAATAATTTAGTAGCTACAACAACAAAAATACATATGCATGTCTTTTTTTTATTTATTACAAAGGAAGGGGGACACCCAAACTACTAAGTTGAGGTCTTGGTATCGAATCCTACACACAGCATGTTTGACATATGCATTTCTTTAATTTAGAATGATGTGTCTACAATATAATGTCTTTATTCAAACAAGATTATTCATTATCAATAAACTAAATAAGAGAAATAATTTCATTAGTTATATTGTCTTTATTTTTCTCCAATATAAAAATTCTTTACATTCAAATTCATCAATTGATTATATTCGCTACATTGTCCCTACAATGTCTTTATTAAAAAACTAGTATTTTACGCGCATTGCGCGATTGGGATAATGCCCAATATTTTTTTAAAATAAGTACTTTAAAGTATATCAAGGCAAGATTATATTGGAATTGTTCATACATAGATAATTGAATGTTAAATTTGCGTATTTAAATAGGTAATTCTAAGTTTACAAATGCAAGATAATATAGTCAAGATTAATTATAATTGTCAATAAAATAATTGTATAGGTATGGTTGAAACCAAATACGGGACATAAAGGAGAACAAATAAAAATTAAGGCATAAAATATTAAATATATACTAATATTGAAGAGCTAACTGCTGATTGCCAAATAAGGCATTGCGAGGTAGTTTCTCACTTCAATTTGTTGTGTGATTTGAATACTCTTTTTGTCAATAAATCCCCCAAGTAATTAATATGATCGACTTAATTATATTTTTTTATTTTTTTTATTTTTAAAACAATTATTATTGTTATTATTATTAAACATATGTATACCCTTAGGTCATTTTACATGTTAATCTAAATAGCTAATTTTTTCAAATATCTTTTACCAACCGTTGATATAATTCGCTGGTCAAATCCGCTAATATAATCCTCTAACGCTAACCGCTAACTGCTGATTGTCAAACAAGGACATTGCGAGGTAGTTCTCACTTTAATTTGCTGTGTGATTTGAATACTCTCTTTTTTCAACAAATCCCTCAAGTAGTTAATATGATTGGCTTTATTAATTATATATATTTTTTAATTTTTTCATGGTATTAATAAAATACTTAGTAAATAAATATATAGCACTATTTTGTATTATAACTTTGATATTTAATTAAAAAATAGTGCACAAAAAAAAAAAAAAAGATAATAGACAATGTAGTGAATATAATCAATTGATGAATTTGAATGTAAAGAATTTTTATATTGGAGAAATATAAAGACAATATAACTAATAAAATTCTTTCACTTAATTAATTTATTGATAATGAATAATTTATTTTTTAAATAAAGACACTGTAGGGACAATGTAGCGAATATAATCAATTGATGAATTTGAATGTAAAGAATTTTTATATTGGAGAAAAATAAAGACAAAATAACTAATGAAATTATTTCTCTTTTTTTTTTTTTGAAAGCTACTGGCTCTATTACATTGTAGTATCTGTTCATATACTTTCTCAACCTACTGAAACACAAAGAACCAATAACTCCTCCACTGAAATTATTTCTCTTATTTAATTTAGTGATAATGAATAATTTTTTTTTTTGAATAAAGACATTGTAGACACATAATTCTAAATTAAAGAAATGCGTATATATTATTTTTTGTTGTAACTACTAAATTATTATTTAATTTAATAAGAGTAAAATAGAGTACTAATTATGCCAACTTTGATTGGGATGAGGTTCGAACCTAAGACCCTTCTTACTGAAATCAATGAATAAGTTAACGGTGAACTAACAGAAATTAACGGAAAAAATAATATTTAACGAAAAATTTAACGGATAATCATATTCATTAAGGATAAATTAGGAAATCTTAAGGAAAAATTAAAATCTGCTCAATCTGAGTCATTCATTTGATTAAAAAATTTGACCGCCATTTTTTCTATCCATTATAGGCCTAACTCTCTTGGGCTCTTATTAGTATAGTAGAAATTATTCATTATCAATAAATTAATTAAGAGAAATAATTTTTTTAGTTATATTGTCTTTATTTTTCTCCAATGTAAAAATTATTTACATTCAAATTCATCAATTGATTATATTCACTACATTGTCTATTATCTTTTTTGTGCACTATTTTTTAATTAAATGTCAACGTTATAATACAAAATAATGCTATATATTTATCTACCAAGTATTTTATTAATACCATGAAAAAATTAAAAAAAAAAACATAATTAATAAAGTCAATCATATTAACTACTTGAGCGATTTGTTGACAAAGAAAGTATTCAAATCACACAACAAATTGAAGTGAGAACTACCTCGCAATGTCCCTGTTTAACAATAAGCAGTTAGCGGTTAGCGTTAGCGGATTATATTAGCAGATTTGAGCAGCGAATTATATCAACGGTTGTTAAAAAGATATTTGAAAAAAAATAGTTGTTTAGATTAACATGTAAAATGACCAAAGGGTATACATATATTTAATAATAATAACAATAATAAAAAAAATAATAATAATAATAATAATCATAATCATAATAATAATAATAATAATAATAATAATAATAATAATAATAATAATAATAATAATAATAATAATAATAACAATAATAATAATAATCGTTTTAAAACAATAAAAAAAATATAATTAAACCAATCATATTAACTACTTGAGGATTTATTGATAAAAAGAGTATACAAATCACACAATAAATTAAAGTGGAAAATTATCGCGCAATGTCCTTGTTTGGCATTTAATATTTTATGCCCTAATTTTTATTTGCTCTCCCTTATGTCCCGTATTTGGTTTCAACCATACCTATACAATTATTTTATTGACAATTATAATCAATCTTGAATATATTATCTTGCATTTGTAAATTTAGAATTACCTATTTAAATACGCAAATTCAGCATTCAATTATCTATATATGCATGAACAATTCCAATATAATCTTGCGTGGAGATACTTTAGAGTACTTATTTAAATAAAAAAAAAAACATTGGCCATTATTCCAATCGCGCAATGCGCGAAAAAAACTAGTCTATCTATAATTATTATTAAAAACAAATTCCTTCTTTCATTCTTGCCCAAACACTTCTTCCCAATATTTCAATAATAATATTCTACATCATCAATAGTAAATGCATATTTTAGAAAATAGTAAAGGTATATTAAAAATGAAACGGAAATATTTCAATAATAATATTCTACATCATCAACTCAAAATGGAACAGAAATTATGTAAAAATATCACTACATCTATATTCTAATTGACTAATTGACTGAAAATAGAAAAGAATAATTGTCTGAAAATGAATCTAATATTACTAAATTACTAAAAATATAAAAGAAAATGAATATTAATAATTGACTGCAAATAAAAAAAATGATATAATTGACTAAAAAATGGTCAGATCATTGCATTTTAATTAAAAAAAATGAATAGAAATTAAAAATTGAACGAAAATATTTCAATAATAATATTCTACATCATCAATAGTAAATGCATATTTTAAACAATAGTAAAAGTAAATTAAAAATGGCACAGAAATAATTCAATAATAATATCTACATCATCAATTAAAAATGGAACGAAAATTATGTAAAAATATCACTGCATTTAATATTTTAATTGACTAATTGACTGAAAATAAAAAAGAATAATTGGCTGAAAATGAATCTGATATTACTAATTGACTGAAAATATAAAAGGATCACTAATTGAGTTATATTTTACCATTATATATTTTCACCCGAGTAACCCGTCCTGATGGACCGAAGGTGTTAGCTCTAGACGAGGATGGACAAGATTTTGTTGCCACTACCAATGTCGTCTACAAAGAGGATTCAATAATGTGTAAATATAATCGGTGATATTATGTTCTTTTTTAAATGGAAAAATCGCTATATATCTAGACAAAAAATATATCTTCCACACAAATGAATTAGGATAGCAATTCATTCCTATAACTGAGTTATTAGAGAACGGGCACATTTACCTAATTTAAGAAAATACTAAACAATGATAAATAAAATCTTCAAAGTTATAGCACCGCATGCGTACATCTAGACATTAGATATTAATTTGAGCAATTATTTACACAAATTCAAGCAATTATAACATCAAAATACATAAACGATCCGAACTATATCTTTAATTGCATTATATAATATTTAATGTCCTAATTTAAATAATTATATATCGATTCAAATATTCTTAATATATTACAACAAATCCATTCCGTGCATCGCACGGGTAAAAATACTAGTATAATATGTTAATTGTAGTAGATACATAATTTACTAACTGAAATTATATAATATGTTAATTACTGGTACATAATCAGAATACTATTTTGAACTAGAATCCACAATGCAAGGTGTACCTTTGTGAACTTTGGTTCATGATATAGCAATTGTTAAACACAAGGTTCCAAGTTTGACTCGGGGTGGTCTATTAACTTTCTTGTTTTGAGCTGGTTAGTTATATATCTCATTGTAATCTTTTGTCAATTAGAATTATAAAATGAATTTCATCTAGAAGGTACCTTTCGATAGTAATTGTAAGTGTTTCCGTAAATAAAAAAAATTTACATATTTGTCATTTCATACTCGGTATTTCTTTTCAACATGTATGGTATATAATATTAATTAAACGTGGGTAAAAAATTGATAAATAAATAAACTAACGGGGTTCGATGGCACTAATTGTAACCTCATTATTGGAACCATTTGATCCTCCTTGAGAAGTAGAAACAACAGTGTTGGAATGGTTGCTAGCAACAAATGCTGGCTCTTTGAGTTTTGGAATTGTTGTCGCAAGGTTGCTCAACATGACAACTACATCGGACATTGTTAGTCTATCTGTTGGAATTGGTTGCACACATAAAAGTCCCACTTCAATGCATCTAATAGCCTTAGGAGAGTCGCATGTTTTCTTTATTGCTGGATCGATGAATTCAAGTGTTCGTCCCTCTTTCCAGTTATCCCAGGCCTAATAAAAGAAAAAAAAAAATCATTGTCTTTTTTCTTCAACATAAAGTTTAAAGATCTAAAGCATGAAGTTACCCATCCAAGGAGAGTAATGGAAAGTTCAATCTGACAGAATTCTGAGTTCTTTCGGCCACTAATAATTTCTAACAATAGCACCCCGAAACTGAACACATCAGATTTCTCTGAAAATTGACCATGCATCACATATTCTGGTGGAATGTAGCCACTATACCAAGAAAAAAAAAAGGGTAAATCCTTCAATTTGTTATAAAAATTATAACAATCAATTATAAACTTCCCAAGTTATCAACTAGCTCAAGTATGGATGAAGAGTGAAAATTAAGTGTACTTACTATGTCCCAACCACATGATTCGTATTTGCATGAGTTTGGTCGAATCCAAAAATCCTTGCCATTCCAAAATCTGATATTTTGGGCTTCATTACTTCATCAAGTAAAATATTGCTGGCTTTTAAGTCCCTATGAATGACTTTTAGTCTAGAGTATTTGTGAAGATAAAGTATTCCTTGAGCAATTCCCTCTATTATTTGGAAGCGAGTTTTCCAATCCAAACTTTCTTTCTCAGATGCATCTAAAAGAACCATAGTGACTTTGTTAATAAGAGATTAAAACTACAAACAAAAGAAACATTATGTTTTGTGGTTTACAATACACATGGTTGAAAAAATTGTTGGCGCTTAGGCAACGATTAATCGACGCTTAGGGGATCGACTGCGTATTTTTTATTTTTAAAAAATTTGTTTAAAATTTTTTAATTTATTAAGACTTGATATTTATAAAAGATTTAATACTTTAACAGTTAATACTAAAATATTAAATATTAATAAAAAAACCGTAACAATTTAGGGTTATTTTGCTCAAAACGATGTTGTTTTGAGTGAAATAACCCATTTAGAAAAAGAAAAAGAAAAAGAAAAAAAAAACAATGGCTAATCAGTCGACTAGCCGACCTAGTCGGTGCCTAGGATGCATACTCGGCACTTAGGAGAGTCGGTCAGCCACTTAGACTACCAATTTTGGTAATACGCTAGGCGACCGGTCAACACCTAGTACCTAGGCGCCGATTAATCAGTACCTATGGGAGATTTTTGCAACACCCACAATACATATTACTACGTAACACATTAAATGTACCAAATAAGAATTTGTCCAAGCTTCGTTTCGGCAAGTACTCATAGATTAGTATTTTCTCATCATCTTCAGTGCAACAACCCAACAGGCTAACAAGATTCTTATGTTGTAGTTTTGCAATTAGCTTTAACTCGTTCTTGAACTCCTCCAAACCTTGTGATGATCGTTTAGAAAGCCTTTTGATGGCTACCATTCCAAATTCTGATAAAAATCCCTGAAACAAATTAAAATACTTTAATTATAACCTTCAATTCTACTCCAATTACAAAGGAAATTAGAATTAGTATATATATCAATGTTGCATATGTTAATTAGATGGTTAGTTGAGTATATGGATGAAGAAATATAGAAGAGGAGTAGTCAAGCAGGTAAAAAAAATCACTCTGCCGAGTTGAATGTCAACTCGGCTGAGTTGGACACCGACTTGGTCGAATTAGACATTTGACTCCACCGAGTTAAGCGCACAACTCGTCCAAGTCAGCGCCTAGTCGGCACCTAGGCCGATTCTTACAACACTAAAATATATACACATCCATGTGACTCAATAATCCTCGTGACAGCCACCTTATACACCGGACCAAATCCTCCTTCACCGAGTTTATTTGCTTCATCAAAATTGTTTGTAGCATCAGTTATTCTCTCCAAGCTAAGCTGTAGCAACTCTGTATCACCTTTTCCAACAAGGGATGCCACTGACAGAGAGTTAACCATTGTAGACATTTTAGCTTCCCAATCTGGAATTTGAAAAGTAGGTGAAGCTAGCGAACCAAATTAAAATTAACAGTCTCACTTGATAAGAATGAGATATTCAAAACCAAAAACAGAAACTTCATATATATATAATACCTTTCCTTCTGAAGTATTTTCTTCTGAGGATGTATGTCAAAGCACAAACAAGAATGAATGCAGAGACCAAAGTACTGATTATTACAAGAAGAGCTCTTTTCCTGTGACCTGAATTTCCATCTGCATCAAATTGAAACATCATCAAACTAAAGTCAGTAATCCCTGCAATGTACATCAGAAAAGACAAACATAATAGGGTCAACCCAAGCCAAATTAATCAGACTCTTGACTTGGTGACCACAAGGTTACAACTCGCAGATGGAGCGACCTATTGACTTTCTTTGTTTGAGCGGGTCAGAATGACAACCTAGACTGGTTTACCTCTTCGCAACTCTAGACAGGTATCCAGGGCACATATACCCTCGGGTAGTGACTGCCCTAGGTTGGTCTACTTCTTTGTGACCTTAAGCGGGGTTTATCCCGTGCACTCCTATAGATAGTAGTTGCCCTAGACTGGTTGACCACCTTCTGACTCTAGGCAGAGTTTACCCCGTGCATACTCTCTAGTAGTGACTGAAGGTTTTTCTCGGGATTCGAATAAAAAACAAAAGACAGACATTATGTGTATGTATTACTTGATTTACTTTGGTTGGAGATGTGAACTCGAACGTAGAGATCTTGGCCAAACCCATTAAGACCAGCTGAATAGTTATGAATCAAATCAACCAAGTCCCCAAACCAGTTTATGCAGTTGACTGTAGAATCAGAACTGATATTTGCATAAGCAAAAGCTTTGCAGGAGCAGTTCCTGGAACACTGATCTACACAATCCTTAAAACTCATACTCCCCATTGAACTTGAATGGTCAGGCCATTTCATCAAAGGCAACCTCATAAACATATCATCTTCATCACATCTCAAATCTACTATCCTCTCACATCCTCCTCCATGGATTCCATTATCCCAATCTTTCTGGGATTTGGGTCTGAACCCTTTCAAGCAGCTGCAAACTGGGTGTGAACCATTGTATTCACAGCTCCCAAATGCCCCACAGCGCGCATAGAGTTCGCAGTCGTTAGCGGGCACATGCCACCGGACTAGCCATCTATCGGTTCTCTTCTGGTTCAATTGCGTCTCGACATAGCCATCTGGGGTCAACATGAACCTTACTTCAGAGATGTCAGCGTAGCCATAGCTGAAATAAACTTCATCTTTTTCTGCAGCGAAAGAATAGTATGCGGAATATCCCAGGACAGGGAAGAGTAAGCTCCAGTTAAAACCGTACTGGTACAAGTTGCTCCTGAAATAAGGACTGTTTTCTTTCCAAATGAAGAATTGTGGAGATCCATTAGGATCCATTCCCCAGGAGAATTTCCCTGGCCGGGGATCGTCTTTGCTAGTCCAAGATTTAATGATGTTTCGAGTTCGGTTTTTCGTGTTTACCTTTAGCTTCATCCCCGGCATTAATGTGTCGCAGGCGTGATCAAAGCTCTGCCAAACAGGGCTATCATAATCGCCGTGTTTGAGAATAAGGTTTCCGGTGTTTAGCAGACGGGTCTCCGGGGAGGTTCTTGGAAATCCGGCGCCGGAGACGTTTGTTGACCATATTGTTTCTCCTTTGCCATTGATGATCTGCAAGTTCCCGTCTTGGCCGAGGGTGAAAACTGGGTTGGAATCTTGAGGCAAAGGAGATTCTCTGTTGGCGACCCAAATGACGCTGTTGTTGATGGCGTTATACCATATTCCGAGAAAGGAAGAGGAAGAGTTTCCCGGGGAGAAGAAGCCCAGAGCGAATCTCCCGCCGGCGGAAACTAAGGTCTGGTTTGCAGTAATCGACTCGCCCGGCCGGAGACTGTCTGTGCTCAGTCCACCATTGCAGAAAAAACACAGAAACGCCAACCAAACATGCGATCTCATCAACTTTTTTACAAACGTGGTACGAAACCCATTGCGAAAACAACGGGCATTTTCTACAATGGCAGCCATTGGTGGAGGGAAAAGCTTCGATTCGCTAGGAATTTGTGAGAGAACTGTAAATGATTTGCTGAAAAACTGGGTTGGAGATTACTCATGTTGATTGTGGAATCGGTCTTCCCACGAGTAAGTCATCCATAATGGAGATTTTGCGAGTCAATAATATTTTTTTATTTGGTGGACGACTCTATACAATCAATTAAAGAAAAATTGCATTCTGAAATCTTGACTTAGCCACTGTGGCCTAATTTTGTGGACTTGAGTCAAAATGGAATCTCATGTAATTGTCCCAATCGTTATGCAGTGGAACCGTGTCAACCTTGTACAAGGTGGACACGGTTCTATATTCATAATTTTTGAACTTCATATTCATGATTATTGAACTCTATATTTACAATTACAGAACTCTATGTTCATAATTACTGAATTATATGTTAATATTTATAAAGCTATATATTCATAATTTTTTAACTTCATATTCACAATTATTGAATCTCTATATTCATAATTACAGAACTATATATTCATAATCATGTTCACAACTCTATGTTCATAATTATAGAATTATATGTTCATAATTTTTGAACTATATATTTATAATTATGAACAATTTTGGAACTGTGTCCACCTTGCAAGGTGGACACAGTTCTACGACATAATTTGCCTAATTGTCCTAATTATAAGACTTATTTTCAAATTCAATAAATTTGTAAATTTTGATTCACTGCAAAAATTTACAGTCATTATCAAAATGAAGTCAATCAACTTAGATTGTTTATAATTTAACAAAGTTCAATAAATTGTTTTTTGAGATTCCAATTTAAATCTTCTCTCTTTTTCTCGCATGAAATTTAATGTTGTGATTTTGATGCTTTTGTATGATTTAACATTTCCTCTTCCATTTCCGAACTTCAACTTTCTTCTATTTATTTATTTATTTAAATGTTTCATCGCTCATCGTTACTGGATTTTCGTTTATTAATGTTGAAGATCTTGCGCAGATATACATTCATGTTAGATCTGGTTATGCTTTTTGTGGTGTGATGAACGGTTAATCGAAAAGAGATTTTTGTTAAAATATTTTAGAATTTAGCCGATCTCCGTGTGGAATCTCATATGCCTATATGAATTAAGGCAATTTATATCCTGCACGACGACGCGTGTTGCATTATGCGCCCAGATGCAAAACGGCGTCGTTTCAATTTTTTTTTTTTTTTTGAAATTTTTCGCCCTAGTGTTTGGCAGTTAATTTTTCTTTAAAAAAAGAAACCCCATGTTCAAAAGTGTACATAATGTTATACTAGAATACACATAATTGTATACATGAATGTACATAATTATATAACAAAATATACATACTCCTTTTTAAAAGATAATACACATAATCTAACATAATACATAATAAACATAAACTTTTAACATAATACACATCAACTCTTAACATAATACACAAAAATTTCCTGATTCGGATGTACATAATTGTATAAAAAGAATGTACATAATTGTATAAAAAATGTACATAATTGTATGAACAAATATACATAATCACAGCAACTTCCTACCGCGCCTCCCAAAACGACACAGTGCTACTCGTGCCGTGGTGTAGGGTATAACGATTGATGAATTAATGTTCAATTGTTAAAATCTTATGTCCACTCACTACGCCTGAACTTAATTACATCTTAAATCAAAATATTAGTATTAGAACTATATTATTAGTATTTCACTAAACTCTATTTTGTGTTTATATATTGTACTCTCAGACTTTGGTATTCAATACAATACAATCTATATTCTCATCTAGTATCAGTTATCCGGGTTTTCTCTCATGGAAACCTTCGGTGTTAATGATGACGGCTCTGTTCTTGGATCTTCTGAACAGATCGTTACCGAGGTTCCTCCGATGCCCACTGGTAATAGCCTTTCTTTGGCTCATCACTTCGTCTCCATGAAGTTAACCTCCCGGAATTATCTATTCTAGAGGACGCAGATGCTTCCGTTCCTCGATGGCCAAGGACTCCTTGGTTTTATTGACGGCACTGTGCCGTTCCCGACGACTTCACTGGCGACTTCTTCGAGTCGCTGGCGGCGGCTTCGGATCTCTCGGCGCGGCAGATCTCGTGGTGACGGCATGACAAGGGAATATTGTCCATGCTTATCTCGTCCTTGTCCGAGGAAACCCTCCGTTTCACCGTCGGCCGTGGCACTTCCCGGCAGCTTTGGCAGGTTATCGAGCAAACCCTCGACTCGTCGACTCGGTCTCGAGCTTTACGGCTGCTCGGTGAACTGCAAGGGTTACGTCAAGGTGATTCTTCCATCTGGGACTACCTTGGCCGTGCACAGATGTTGATTGATGAGTTAGCCCTTGCTGGTCGTCAGGTCGAGTTAGACGATCAAAACTTATACGTTTTTCGTGGCCTACGACCTGAGTTTCGTCCGTTGGTGGCGACATTGGCTCGGGGTGCACCTGTTCCGCTAACGGAGGTAGCGGACTTTTTAGTGTCACAGGAATGGATCTGCTCCGACGATGGTGTCCCTCTTGGTGCACCGGCCGCAATGGCAGTCAGCCATGGTGGTCACGGCGGCCGTGGTGGTGGTTCGCAACCACGAGGTAGTGGAGGTCGCGGCAGGGTAACCGCAGACGTGGTCGGGGGCGGTCTGGTTCGGGCCCTCGGTGTCAGATTTGCAACTAGCAGGGTCATATCGATGTTGCTTGTTGGCAGCGATTTACGCCTTCCTCGGATCCTCAGGCCTATGTGGTGGTTTCTGGTGGCGATGATACTCTGGATGACCCTCATCAGTGGTTCCCTGACACTGGTGCGACGAATCATGCCACTCCTGACTCTTCCTTACTGACGTCTGCGACAGGTTATGATGGTTCGGAGATGCTCCGAGTCGGCAGTGGTACATGTTTGCCCATTGTTAATGTTGGTTCCACTTCGTTAGCTACTGATTCTAGGTCTTTTAGGATGAGTGATGTCTTGCATGTTCCTGGTTTATCTGCCTCGTTATTGTCTGTTCAGCGTTTTGCTAAAGATAATAATGTTTTCTTTGAGTTTCACCCTTCGTGTTTCTTTATGAAGGATATTTTAACTAGGAAAGTTCTATTTAAGGGGTAGGCTTTTGGGGGTCTCTATGCTTGGCCTACTTCGCGTCCAGCTCTGGCTGCTTTTGTTGCTGCGCGGACTTCTTTCGTTTGGCACATGCGGTTTGGGCATCCTCACTGCAAGAGTATTACGTCGGATTTTAGAATCTTCGTATGTTGGTACCTTTAATAATAGTGACCTACCCAATATTTGTTCATCTTGTCAATTGGGGAAGTCGTTTCGTTTTTCTTTATCTCGTGTCGAGACTACTAGTACGCAACTTTTGGAATTAATATATTCTGATATTTGGGACCCTGCGCCATTAATTTTTGCGAATGGTTTCAAATATTTTGTGTTGTTTGTGGATGACTATACACGTTACATGTGGTATTATCCTATGCGTGTAAAATTTGAGTTTTATGGCATTTTTGATAAGTTTCAGTCACTTGTTGAGCGTTCTTTCTCTCGCAAAATTCTTTCTTTTCAGTTTGATTTAGGGGGAGAGTATAAAAAGTTTGGCTCCACTCTCGCTTCTCTAGGTATTCGCCACAGGCAATCCTGTGCGTATACTCATAAGCAAAATGGGAGGGTGGAACCGCAAGCATCGCCATGTTGTTGAAACGGATCTACCTTTAATGGCTCAAACGTCTGTCCCATCTCATTTCTGGGATTATGCGTTTGAGACTGCAGTATACTTGATTAATAAAATGCCTACTCGTGTCTTGTCTGATAAGTCTCCACATTTTCTTTTACCTCGGTCTCCTCCGTCTTATTCTTATCTACGGGTTTTTTGGGTGTTTGTGCTTTCCAAACTTGCGTCCCTATAATTGCAACAAATTGCAGTTTCGGTCTTCTTCCTATGTCTTTCTTGGATATCCTCTAGTCTTTTCATGGCTATCGTTGTTTGGACACTAACACTAACAAGATTTTATTCTGTCGTCATGTGCGATTCGATGAGACTGTCTTTCCTTTTGTTGCTCGTGTTGATTCGCATGTTGCCACACCGAACCCAGAAGCGTGGGCCGTTGCGCCCGTTTTTGCTGGAGATGATGTAGTCCGATCGGTTGTCGAGCCCACCGCCGAGCCTCCTGCTGTGCCGGAGACGTTCTTTGACCATATTATTTCTCTTTTGCCGTTGATGATCTGCAAGTTTCCGTCGTGGCCGGAGATGAAAACGGGGTTGGAATCTTGAGGCAAAGGAGATTCTCTATTGGCGACCCAAATTACGCTGTTGTTGATGGCGTTATACCATATTCCGAGAAAGGAAGAGGAAGAGTTTCCCGGGGAGAAGAAGGCCAGAGCGAATCTCCCGCCGGCGGAAACTAAGGTCTGGTTTGCAGTAATCGACTCGCCGGCCGGAGACTGTCTGGGCTCACTCCACCATTGCAGAAAAAACACAGAAACGCCAACCAAACATGTGACCTCATCATCAACTTTACAAACCCATTGGGAAAACAACGGGCATTGTCTACAATTGCAGCCATTGGAGGGAAAAGCTAAGCTTTGCTAGGAATTTGTGAGAGAACTGTAAATGATTTGCTGAAAAACTTGTGAATGGGTTGGAGATTACTCATGTTGATTGTGGAATCGGTCTTCCCACCAGTAAGTCATCCATAATGGATATTCTGCAAGTCAATCTTTTCTTTATTTGGTGGCGGACCCTATAGTCCTATACAATCAATTAAAGAAAAACTGCATTTTGAAATCTTGACTTAGCCACTGCGGCCTTATTTTGTGGACTTTGAGTCAAAATGGAATATCATGTAATTGTCCTAAATTTCAAATTTTTTTAAAGAGTTAATTATCGAAATGGTCCATTAAGTATAACAGTATTATCAATTTTGTCTTTAACTTTTTTTTTTTTTTGCCTAATTAAGTAACTCAATTTTAAAAATCTTAACCAATTTGATCATCCGTTTGTTTAGTCATCAGATGTTCGTTTACTCAGAATCAAATTGGTAATTTCGCTACAGTTAAGGGATCATTTTGATAATTAATTCTTCGGTTTAATAAGAGAGAAAATAGTGCATGTGACGACATATATTACAGTGCAGAGTCATTGTTGATACTATCAAGTAAACAAGTCATGGAACTAGAACAAGAGTTACTACTAATGAACCTTCTATAATTATAACAAATATTAATATTTTGTTCAATACTTTAACATTAGAATCTAAGACATACATAAAACATGTAGGGAAAACTACCACGGTCAAATATCAACAGACGCTTGCAAGATCAAGAGTTCATAGTATAACTAAGATCCTACTCATATACACAATAAGGCACATTCACAGCTTCCTACACCATAATCTCATTGCATGACGATGTCCTCTATGCTACCACCAGTAACTCATTTTCACATGACACACTACCAATAAAAAAAAAAGAAGAAGACAAGTACTGAAGATGAACGACAATGACAATATTACCCAAAAGAGAATAATTACGAATATTTAGAGAAATTCAAAGCAAAAGTAGTATTTAATTATACTATTGTTTTTAGACTAGCATTTTTACAAAGTTGTAAACATTTATTTTAATGACAATTATAATCAATATCTCTTATATTATCAATTGCATTTATATACTTTGAATTACCAATTTAAATAAACAAATTCTAACATTCAATTACCTATATATGAACATCTCCTATATAATCTTAGATTAATATACTTTGAAGTACTTATTTAAAAATAAACATTAGTTATTATCTCATTCACGCAATGTGTGTGAAAAAACTAGTATAATATATATATATATATATATATATATATATATATATATATATATATATATATATATATATCACAGACCCATACTAATAAGATTCAATAAAGTTAGGCCTATAACGGGAACTAAAAAAATATCCGTCCAATTATTTGATGAAATTAATGGTTCAGATTATTTCAATTTTAAATTTTTTTTTAAAAAAAAATTCCTACTTTATGCTTTATGGTCCCTTGAAAAGACGGGTCGGGTCAATATGAAAATGTAAAACTTATACGCACAAATATTATACTAATTATGAATAAAGTGTTTATTACTTACATAGGAAAATGTAACACTTTTACATTTTGATATAAAAATATTACACTTTTTTTCTCTAAAATATTATATCTACTATACTAATAAGAGCCCAAGAGAGTTAGGCCGACAATGAGTAGAAAAAATGGCGGTCAAATTTTTTAATCAAATGAATGGCTCAAATTGACCAAATTTTAATTTTTCCTTAAAATTTCCTAATTTATCCTTAATGAATATGATTATCTATTAACTTTTCCGTTAAATATTATCTTTTCTGTTAATTTCTGTTAGTTCACCGTTAACTTACTCATTGATTTCAATAAGAAATGTCTTAGGTTTGAACCTCATCCCAATTAAAGATGACATAATTAGTACCCTATTTTACTCTTATTAAATTAAATAATCATTTAGTAGCTACAACAAAAAATAATACATATGCATTTCTTTAATTTAGAATTATGTGTCTAAAATGTCTTTATTCAAAAAAAAAAAATCATTATCAATAAATTAAATAAGAGTTTTCTCCAATATAAAAATTCTTTACATTTAAATTCATCAATTGATTATATTCGCTACACAGTCCCTACAATGTCTTTATTAAAAAATATTATTCATTATCAATAAATAAATTAAGAGAAATAATTTTATTAGTTATATTGTCTTTATATTTCTCCAATGTAAAAATTCTTTACATTCAAATTCATCAATTGATTATATTCACTACATTGTCTAATATCTTTTTTGTGCACTATTTTTTAATTAAATATCAAAGTTATAATACAAAATAATGCTATATATTTATTTACTAAGTATTTTATTAATACCATGAAAAAATTAAAAAAATATATAATTAATAAAGCCAATCATATTAACTACTTGAGGGATTTGTTGACAAAGAGAGTATTCAAATCGTACAACAAATTGAAGTGACTACCTCGCAATGTCCTTGTTTGACAATTAGCAGTTAGCGATTACAGTTAGCGAATTATATTAGCGAATTTGACTAGCGAATTATATCAACAGTTGATAAAAAGATATTTGAAAAAATTAACTGTTTAGATTAACATGTAAAAAGACTTAAGTGTATACATATATTTAATAATAATTATTATTATTTTTAAAAAATAAAAAAATAAAAAATATATAATTAAGCCAATCATATTAACTACTTGGCAAATTGAAGTCGGAAACTATCTCGCAAGGTCCTTGTTAATAATAATAATTATTATTTTAAAAAAATAAAAATATATAATTAAGCCAATCATATTAACTACCCTATTACATTGTAGTATCTGTTCATATACTTTCTCAACCTACTGAAACACAAAAAACCAATAACACCTCCACTGAGGCTCAAACTCGTAACCTTCCAAATGGAAGTCCAACCCGGATACCATTAGACCACATAATCCTGGTGACAATCAGCAGTTATCTCTTCAATATTAGTATATATTTAATATTTTATGCCCTAATTTTTATTTTTTCCCCTTATGCCCCGTATTTGGTTTCAACCATACCTATACAAGTATTTTATTGACAATTATAATCAATCTTGACTATATTATCTTGCATTTGTAAACTTAGATTTGCCTATTTAAATACGCAAATTTAGCATTCAATTATCTATGCATGAACAATTCCAATATAATCTTGCCTTGATATATTTTAAAGTACTTATTTAAAAAAAAAAATATTGGGCATTATCTCAATCGCGCAATGCGCGTAAAAAACTAGTTTTCCCTTATAAGTAACAAATACAAACCAACATTACTTATTAGAGAAAATGTAATACTTTTAAAGAAAAAAGTAATAAATATTTTATTCTTAATTAGTATTAAATTTGAGTATATAAGTATGACATTTACGCATATAAGCGGACCGACCTTACTTCTCTCACGGGTAGTACTAGTAGTTGCCGTTGTTTTTGTCATTTGTATTGTAATTTATTTACGAAATAATTAAATATGAGTAAACAATATTAGAGTCAATCGTGTTGTCTAATTTTTCTCTCTCTAGGGGTCCTAGGGTTTTCTCTTGTTCTCTAGGGTTTCTAGGGTTTTCGGCTCAGATTTTGCTCCTTTTTCCGGCGATCGCCGGCGATACAACAGCTATGGACGAACAAGACAGTGAACCGGCAGCAGCAGTACGAACGACGGAGGTGGTGGAGAGACTCACGGCGAGTTGGGCGGACATGGCGTTGGAGGAGGATGGGGACGAGTTCGTCCCGGATGGCGACTGTGTTGGGGAGGTGACGGTCGATGGAGAGACGTCGTGGGCCATCGTAGGGCGGTTTCTCACGGCTAAGGTCGTCAAGCTCGAGTATATGCGGAACGTGATGGCGTCCGTGTGGCAGCCGGTAAGAGGGGTTCAGGTAACCGAAATACAACCGGGGCTATTCTTGTTTGTATTCTATCACGCCACGGATGTTGCGTATGTATTGGATGGGGGACCGTGGGCATTCGAGAACAACATGCTTGTTTGTCGCGAGGTTGAGGGGGGGATGAACCCGTGTGATGTTCCTCTGGATACGGTGGATATGTGGGTTCAACTGCATGGATTACCGATGGGCTATACGTCGCAGAGTGTTCTTGAACAGGCCGGTAAGTTCATTGGTACATTCGCAAAGCATGATGATAGATTTGTCGGGGCCCCCTGGTTAACCTTTTATCGAATACGGGTCTCGATTGCGGTGGGCAAACCGTTGAGGAGGGGTATGAAGCTGGTCAAAAGGGACAAGACTACGTGTTGGGTTTCTTTTAAGTATGAACGACTTCACAAGTTTTGTTTCTTTTGTGGACTCATGGGGCATGTCCACACTTTCTGCTTGAAGGCTCGGGAGAGTCGGGTCCCGGAGAATGAATTTTCGTATGGAATTGAATTGAGGGCAGGAGGCGGAAGGGGTGCCGCAAGGGGGGTGGGTGGGAACTGGCTTATTCCAGTGGGGGGGAGGCCGTTACCATTGCCGGGGGCTCGACCGGACAGTGAGGAGGGAGTTGGGGGGAAGAGGGCGGAAGGCCGTGGTGAGGAGGGAGTCTCGGGTGGTGTACGGTCGGGTGGTGGGGCTGTGGTGGCAACCGGGAAGCGCCGCAGGGAGGGGCAACAAGGGTGTGATGGGTCGGAGGATGGAGATGTGGCAATGAATGATGTTTCAAAAAACTTGTGTATGGTGGGAGCTGCTACTCAGCCCCGCCCGTCCTCATGAGTACGCTAAGTTGGAACTGTCGTGGCTTGGGCAATCCACGAACAGTTCGACAAGTGGTGGACATTGTGTCCCGAAAGAAGCCTAAGTTTGTCTTTTTAATGGAGACTATGATGGCACGGATACATGCAGAAAGGCTCCGTGTCACGATTGGATATGAGGGTTTGTTTTATGTGGATAATGCCGGGATGAGTGGTGGTATGGCGTTGTTTTGGAGGAAGAATAATTCGGCATCTTTGTTGGGTTATTCTAAGAATCATGTAGATGTGGAGGTAAGGGCTCAGAATGGTAAACAGTGGCGAATGACATGTTTCCATGGGCATTTGGATCACAGTAGGACGTGGGAGTCCTGGGGTTTGTTGGAAAGTTTGAAGGCTAAATCCTTGCTGCCCTGGGTGGTCATAGGGGATTTTAATAATCTTCTATTTCAGTATGAGAAAAGAGGAGGGAATCCGTACCCGAATCACCTCTTACGAGGCTTTGGGGAGACCTTAGATGGTTGTGGTTTGATACAGTTACCTATGTGGGGCCATCAGTTTACTTGGGAGAAGAGTAGAGGGACGGACAATTGGATTGAGGAGAGACTGGATAAGGTTTTAGCCACAGCTGATTGGTGTGGGCTAAACGACCATGTAGACGTGGAAAACATCATAGCTCGGCCTTCAGATCACTCGGCCCTCTTTCTTAGTATGGATGCGCCATGCATACGTGGGGGAAGAGTTGCGAGGAGATTTAGGTTTGAGATGGCATGGCTCCAGGATGAGGGGTGTAGGGGGGTGGTGGCAGCGGCCTGGCAGGGAGGGAGGGTTGAGGGGTTGCTGAATTGTCAGCAACGGTGTGGGGAGAGGTTGATGAGGTGGGGTGGAGAGAACTTCCATAAGTTTGGAGAGCGTATTGGGAGGTTGAAAAAGAGACAGGGAGCTATCCGGAATAGGAGGGACCCGGCCGCGTTGGCCGAGTTCCACCAGATCGATGTGCTCTTAGCCCGACTGGAGGCGCAGGAGGATGTGTTCTGGAGACAACGAGCAAAGCAGCACTGGCTACGTGGTGCAAATGCAAATACGAGGTTCTATCACAGGTATGCTTCTGCTCGTAAAAAAAAGAATACTGTGAATAGAATTTTGAATAATGATGGCATGTGGGTGGAGGGGAATGATATGTGCTCTGTTATCCTTGACTATTTTCGACAAATTTATACAACTGAGAGTACTGCTTTTGATGATGCTATGCTTGATAATTTTGCCCCGCGAGTAACGCATGCTCAGAATGAATATTTATTGCGTCCGTTTGGACCAGAAGATGTGAAAGAGGCAATAAGTTCCATGTATCCTGACAAGGTGCCTGGCCCGGATGGATTGAATCCAGGCTTTTACCAGCACTTCTGGGATGTAGTAGGGGGGATGTGTCTGAATTTATAATATCCTGTTTGAATACAGGCAATCTTCCTGAAGGCGTAAATGATACAAATATTGTTCTAATCCCCAAGAAGAATGTGCCGGAAAGGGTCGCTGATATGAGACCGATTGCTCTTAGTAATGTTATTTACAGGGTAATGGCTAAGATGATAACAAATAGGATGAAACCACTAATGGGGGGCCTGATCTCAGAGTCTCAAAGTGCGTTTATTCCCGGGCGCCTGATCATGGATAACATCCTTGTTGCAGCAGAGGTGGGGCATTATTTGAATAGGAAGCAATGTGGGCTAACAGGATGGAGTGCCTTAAAGCTTGATATGTCGAAGGCGTATGACAGGATGGAGTGGGCGTTTTTGCAGAGAATGCTGTGTGCTTTTGGGTTTGATCAGCGGTGGGTTACCCTTATTATGCATTGCGTCACAACTGTGAGATATACGATTATGGTTAATGGGGTGGCTGGTGGGCAGATAACACTTACGCGTGGGCTCAGGCAAGGGGATCCTCTATCTCCTTATTTGTTTATTATTTGTGCAGAAGGGCTTTCTATGCTTTTACAGAAAGCACAGATGGATGGAGCAATACATGGTTGTAGGGTGGCAAGAGGAGCACCCCTGGTGTCCCATCTATTTTTTGCAGATGATAGCCTACTGTTTTTCAAAGCTAATATTGAGGAGGCTGATGTAATTAGACAGTACTTACACCAATATGAGAGATTGTTTGGTCAGAAAGTGAACTATGACAAGTCCAGTATATGTTTTAGTAGGAATACTCATGAAGAAATAAAGGGGGAGGTGGCGGCGTGTTTAGGGGTGAACCAGGTGGCTAACTTTGGAAAATATTTGGGTCTCCCATCGTTTGTAGGCAGGAATAAGAGAGCTGTTTTTTCCTATGTGGAGGATAAGATCAGACAAAGAATTGGTTCGTGGAGTAAAAAGTTGCTTACTCAGGCTGGTAAGGAAGTGCTCTTGAAAAGTGTGGCTCAATCTATGCCAACTTTTTCTATGAGTGTTTTTTTGTTACCTGAGACAGTTTGCACATCGATTGAAAGGACCATGAACAGATATTGGTGGGGTTCTGGAACGGATAGGAAGATACATTGGAAAGCTTGGGATAAATTGTGTATCCCTAAGAAATATGGGGGACTGGGATTTAAGGATCTACGGGCTTTTAACTTGGCAATGTTGGAAAAGCAGGCATGGCGGTTCCTCACAGAGCCTACTACTTTGGCAGCAAGAATATATAAAGCCAGGTATTATCCGAATACATCTTTTGTTGATGCTACCATAGGGAATTGCCCAAGTTTTTGTTGGAGAAGTATAATGGCTGCACATGGAATGGTTTGTTCGGGAGTAAGGAGGCGAGTAGGAAATGGTGAAAAAACATTGATATGGGGGCATCCCTGGTTACCAGATAGTCCCAGTCCGTTGGTCCAAACAATAATGCATGAGGAGTTACGACATGCCCATGTTGCAGGTTTGATTGACCGGCAGACTAATACCTGGGATCCGCATATTCTGGCTGATTTATTTATCCCTGAGGATGTGGCACGCATTTCTATGATCCCTGTTAGCCCGGACTATGAGGACACATGGTATTGGAAGGGAGAGATGAATGGAATATATTCGGTTAAAAATGCCTATAGGCAGATTAAGGGGGATTATGAGCATAGCCCAGGTGATTTTGATAAATGGGTTACTCTATGGAAGCTGAGAGTGCCACCCAAATGGAAAACCTTCTTGTGGAGAGCAGTTTGTGATATCCTCCCTACTACAAACAATCTAATACTGAGAAGAGTTGAGATTGAGCCGATTTGCCCAATGTGCCAAGGGGCGCAAGAAAACGCCATGCATGCGTTACTCTTGTGTGATTATTCTAAATTAGTATGGTGTTTGTCGGGGTTGCCTGTTACCAATATACTTACTAATTCATTGTCGACATGGCTTATGGGAGTTTTTACTGTCTTAACAGAGGAACAGTGTGGCCTAGCTGTGGCTATACTGTACGCTATTTGGAGTGCCCGCAATGCTGCGGTATGGGAACGTGCTCTCCAAAGACCGAGTCGGACATGGCACCGAGCGGTGGCAGCCATGCAAGCATACCGACGATCGCGCCCCCTGGCGACTGCACCGGCACCTACTGCCTTGACCGAGCAAGCTGGCAGCAACGTCCCACGTTGCTACGTCGATGCTGGTTTCAGACCGGGTACTGGAGAGGCGTCATTCGGAGTAGTGCTCGTCTCGCACCATGGCTCATTTATTGCGGCAACAAATGGACGGCTGGCTGGGGCTTTTTTGGCTACTATGGCCGAAGCGCTCGCTTGCAAGGAGGCACTATCTTGGCTTAAGGGTCGGGATATCATGGAGGTGGACATCTTAACGGATTGCATAGACTTACGAAATATTCTACACTCAGGCCGCGCGGCTAAATACTCCTACCTTGGGATCATCGTGGACCAGTGCAGGACGGCTATATCGTTGTTTACGAAATGTTCTTTAAGTTACGTTTCTAGGAATTTAAATTTACATGCCCATACTTTAGCTTCTCTAGCTTTCGATCAGGATCAAACTATGTATTGGGACTCTGTTCCTCCTGACTCTATCATTCACTTTATTCATTAATATACCGCTTGAAAATTTTTCAAAAAAAAAAAAAAGTCAATCGTGTTGTAAAAATTATGTTGACTAAACCACTTTGGGAATATTTTTTGAACGTGGAGTCAAAATGGAATTCTCATGTAATTATCCTAATTACAAGGCTTATTTTATTAAATCCGATAAATTTGAAAACTTACAATCACACCCATACCTAAATCCCAAAATATAATAAATCTCAATCAAAGTTATATCATATCCCTCATTTATGTCCATGTTTTTAATGCTAATCATTTTGTACATTATGCTTTTAGAGTTGTACTATATAAATTTTTGGACAAAAATACCCCTATCGTTATAACTTCCGTTATCTTTTCCATTATTGTTACCATTCACACGCATCCACCATACATTATATTTTCTTATATTCTTTAATGATAATAATATTTGTAGACATTATATATTGGATTATTATAATAAATAAATTTGATTTCATATAGATTTTAATTAGTAGGGAATTATTTATTTATTTATTTGAGAACAATTAGTAGAGATTTGTTAGTTATCTTAAAAGATATAAATATTGAACATATGTTTTTGCGCATCGCGCATAGAAAACACTAGTAAGATAATAAAGGGATTGGAAATGCTTCACAGCATTTTCTTTGGAGAAAATTATACATTTGTACCTCAATATAATAATAATAATAATAATAATAATAATATAATAATAATAATAATAATAATAATAATAATAATAATAATAATAATAATAATAATAATAATAATAATAATGTAATGTTTATTTTCATTTTAATTTTTTTAAAATGTGGTGTCTAAATTATTTATTGGGTTGTCAAGTTACGGAGTTGCTTGAAGATGTTTGTCAATTGTCCTTGAGGGTTATTGGGGCCTTTTGGTAATTTTAAATTTCCTCTCTTAATTTATTTTCACCATTAAAAAAAAAAAGGTGTTTATCAGCAAATATTAACCGCAATTTATATCGTGCACTACGGCGCACATTGCTATGTGCGGTCAGGCACAAAACGCGCGCTTTTCATGCTGATATTATGCTGGCGTCACTCCGTCCATCCGAACAGACCAAATCTCATTATGTGTATTCAGTTAAAATTTTATGTGTATTGTGTTATGAGTTTACGTGTATTCAGTTAAGAGTTTATGTGTATTATGTTAACCAAACACATTATGTGTATTCAGTTAAAAGTTTATGTGTATTGTGTTATGAGTTTATATGTATTCAGTTAAAAATTTATGTGTATTATGTTAATCAAACCCCATTATGTGTATTCAGTTAAAAGTTTATGTGTATCATGTATTATGTTAGATTATGTGTATTCGGTTATGAGTTTATGTGTATTCTGTTATGAGTTTATGTGCATTCGAAACAGATGATTTTTTTTTTTTAACAACTTAACAAAACGACGTCGTTTTGAGAGGCACGGGACGCACAGTGCTATGTGCGCCCTGGTGCACGGTATAACGATTGAATATTAACTTATGAAACAGACTATTATGTTAGGCCCAAAAATCCTAATATTTCGTACGCTGGTTAAACAAAACAGCAATATAATGGGCCCAACGTACCACTGGACACAAATTATATCAAGGAACAGAATTCATGATGTGTTTTGTGGACCTTGGTCTAGATTTTGTATAAAAATTTTGATGTAGTAAATACATTGTGATATACAAATATGCCTAAGTACGATCTCAGGGCCTAATATACAGGCTCGGGTATTTGTGATAATGGGTTGGACGATCTCGAGTTAATACTAGGTTGAGTAGAAATCTCACAGTCCCCTCTCACGGGCATTAAATATGCTATTTATAGGTAATTAAAAAGGGACAAATAGGGAATGTACCAAGCAAGTATTCCACCGGAATGGAGAGTATGTTTCAAGGTATCTACACTCATGTGGATAATGTTGTCAATACTCAAGGAGGAAAATTCGAAGCATCATTTGATGAAAATCGGAGGAGTCAACAACACCTGATTGACACACATCAAGCACTTGAGAGACAAGTTGGTGGATTGAACACAAATGTCAAAGGGCAACTCAATGAGTTCTACATCCAACTATCTCAAATCCTCAAAAATTCTGGAAAAGCAAATGAAGCAATTGCCGTGAATCAAAGTCAAGGAATTCTCAATGTGGTTCATCAACATGAGAAGCAGATTAGTGATGTCCACACAGATCTCATCTCCATCAACACCAAAGTGGGCTGCCTTCGAGGTTCATATGAAAACATATCCGAATCTGTTTCATCTCTTTGTGAGTCAGTTTATACACTCATTGATTACGCCAAAAAGGGGGAAGAGAGATTCAGTCATTTGGAAGGCATGCTTGAAATGATGATGGCTGCCATGGCTACCCGAAATGTTGGTACAAGCAGTAGTAGAGGAGGAGGAAGCAGATCTGCTGGCAGAAACATTGCTAGAAGAGGAGGATTGGAATATTGGTTCGGTAGTGGTGAAGCTGGCAGTCCAAGAGGATCAAGCAGTGCAAATACCACTAACCGTTCATTTCGTGACATTGTTTGTGCAGGTGGAAATATTGAGCAAATCAATTGGTACAACAAAGCAGCTCTCTATTTGGAATCCACACCAAGAGATGGTAGGGTTGAAATGCCAAGATTGGCAAGCTTGAATGACCTACCATAGGGAATGAAGAAAAGTGGTCCAAGTGACCAAAATTTGTGGGTTTCGAATGAGAACTTCAGGAGGATCAAAAGCTATGCTAGAGCTTTGATGATCATGGTTCTTAAGGATTATATCAAGGTCAATGATGCCGAGCTTCAAGGAGGAAGGAGTCTAGAAGAGTGCATCATATGGTATGAAGAAGGAATACTGCCCGGGGACAACATTATTGAAGCATTCAACTATTATGTGATTGGGCAGGTATGCAACAATTATGTCATTAGTAACAATTTCATTGAAGTTCAAAATCATATAAATCATGTTCTTGAAGAAAGGAGAAACAGAATCATCAAGTGATTTGTATGATTGTTACATTTTTTTGGTGTATGGTCCACGAGAACTTGAACTCATGATCATGGAACAATTTGAAATGGTCCGAATTATCTGTTTATGATGCTATTAAGTTTTCCTTGTTATCTATTTTTATTTTATTTGTCTTGAAAGGTAACATTTTAGCTTAGATTGTATCAAATCGCATAAATTGGAAAAATTACAAAATTCGTTATCATTAAACTCCAAAAAATGCGAATAGAAATTTAGATGCAAAAAATACCTTTCCTAGAGTCAAAATCAAATGTTAAGCTCGTCTTGGCTATGTCAAAATTAATAAAATATTTTGAAAAATAATTGTTTTTAAAAGACAAACCAAATGACTGAGTATAGGTTTTGGCGTCATAAAAAGGGGGAAAATTGATAGGAATATTTTTGTAAGTTTTGATGAGCCAAATGTACTTTAGATCCCCTTGGTTTTTAGGTCTTTTAGTACAAGCATCATAAATCAGAATATCGAGTCAAAAGGAATCTACCATAGGAAGAACAAAATTAATTTGGGAAATTAATTTTGGTCCTACGAGTATTCATCCGAGAAAGAAGCATAAAGGAATGGCGTTGCAAGAATTGATCGGATGAGCTTAACGGCGAAATGGTAGAAGTCCTTACTCAAAATGATCACACCCGAGATCGATTATCCCCAAGGATTTATTTTTTACAAGTCAAGTTTTCGGACAAGCACAATGTTCTCAAAGAGCACAATGTTCTCAAAAGAGCACAATGTTCCTAAAGGAGCACGATGCGGACAAGCACAATGTTCCAAAGGAGCACAATGTGTACAAGCAAGATGTGCCCAAGGAGCACAATGTCTGAAAAGGAGCACAATGTTCTAAAAGAGCACAATGTGAACAAGCACGATGTGTTCAAAGGAGCACAATGTGACCAAATCAGAAAGAGCACAATGTTCAAGTCAAACAAGCAAGAAGTGCCCAAGTCAAAGGAGCACAATGTGGCAAAGAAGCAAGATGTTCAGGAAATGAATAAATTCGAAGGAATTTATTTTGGATCAGCCCACATGCCACAAGAGTCCAAAATTGCCTGAAGATATTTGATCAGAACGGAAAAATATTTATGAAGACATGAATATAAAAACTTGTCCTAGAAATAAATTATATCAGATGAATTTATTTCAAAGATTCATTGGATATTCAAATTGACAACAAAAATAATATTTTAAGAAACAACTTGAAAATCAAGTTGAGATAAAATATTATTTTGTCAGGCAAGTTGACAATCAAATCAAAATTGAAGATCTACTATTGTCAACAATATCAGGCTATGAAGATTCAAATTTCAAATATCAAATTATCCACTCCAACGGATATATTTGATTGCCTATAAAAATCCATGAAGACTTGAAGACAAGAAGAGATAGAGGTGCAATACACACGGATAAACAAAGTGCAAAATTCAAAAGTGCAACTGCTCAAATATTCTTAGAGACTTAGTCTGAATAGTCTCAAATCTAGTTGGAGAGAGGTACAATTACCTTTGTATTTGTAATTGTTAGAAGAGTATAGCTGTGTGCAAAATACTCTAGTGAGTGTAGCTGTGTGCAAAACACTCGTAGTTGCTAAGTGTAGCTGTGTGCAAGACACTTAGTTGGCGTTGAGTATAGCTGTGTGCTAAATACTCGGAGTTGAGTGTAGCTGTGTGCGAGACACTCGGAGTTGGGTGTAGCTGTGTGCAAGACATCCGGAAGAAGTGCTTGTGTAGCGCTTATTCACTATTGTAACTGTGTGGGGAAAATAGTGAATTACTCCTAGAAGTGAATGGAGTAAAGTGGACTAGGAAGATTACGCCACTTCCGAACCACTATAAATTGCCTCTCTCATTTACATACCGCACTTACATAATTTGCTCTATTTATCTATCTTATCTGACTAACCCGTTTACTATTCACAGTTAATCTTAATCATCCGGGTTTAGTGTGTTTTCACGTATGCATGTGACTCAAACTTCTCAAGCTTAAATATTG